AGAGAGAGAGAGAGAGAGAGAGAGAGAGAGAGAGAGAGACGTCGAGAGAGAGAGAATGTGTGTGTATGTGTTTGTGTGTATGTGTGCGTGCGCGCGTGCACGTGTGTGTATGTGTGTGTGTGTGTGTGTGTGTGTGTGTGTGTGTGTGTGTGTGAGTGTGTGTGTGATTGTTTGTGTTTGTGTGTATGTGTATTTATAAAAAGTAAATCAAAGAATGTTTCTTTTAAGGAAATTAAGAAGTTTCCGTGTTGACAATAAGATTATGTCCCTTTTTTTACCATTCTATGATTGAAAGTGTGCTATTATTTTGTATTTGCTGCTGGGGTGGGAATTGTAGGGTGAAAGATAAAGAAAAATTTGACAGAACCATTAAGAAAGCCACCAAGATCTCTGAATATGATTTTATAAGAATGGATGAAATGTATAACACCACACGTACAAAAAAGATAAAAAGCATTATAAACGACCCATCACACCCCTTTTCCACACAAATTGTAAGATCACGCAGCGGCAGATATGTACCTCCAAAAACAAAGAAAGAAAGGTATAAAAGAAGTTTTTTTACCATCTAGCATAAGGCTTTTGTCAGAATGAGCATAGATGTGTGTTGCTCTTAGAGTATATATCTGTATATAACTCCAAACGTCTAGTATTTAAATTCCTGCATGTGGTTGAATGATCATGCATTTGATGTAAATGTACATTTTGTCAGCTTTACTTCTCCTTTCATATTGAGTTTTAATTAGAGTAATATATATGATTTAAATTTTTTTAATGTATACTTGCATGTGTTTTTACGGTTCTGTACAGCCAAGGAAAATTTCCCTCTGGGATAATAAAGTACTATCTTATCTTATCTTATCTCTATCTTATCAGTTTATGTAAATGTATGAGTATGTGTGCATATGTTTGCGTGCTATTATCTGCATGTCATATATAGACTTTACACCGTGAACCTGTGAGTGAGAAAATGCTTAAGGGTAAGCCTGTCAGTTCGTAGTCAGAACAGAATATTATAACTTATAAGTCAGTCCAACTGTGCCTCGTAGTCTTGGAATTATTTTCTCCACAGTGATCGTAACTGACATCGGAATTTCTATTATCGACCCATTTAAGCTCCAAAAAGCAAGAACAGATAATATAGAAATTCATTCGTGCAAACTGCAGTGAGATTATTGAACACACAGTGCTACAAATGAAACATAGAGAGAGAGAGAGAGAGAGAGAGAGAGAGAGAGAGAGAGAGAGAGAGAGAGGGAAAGAGAGCGAGAAAGAGAGAGAAAGAGAGAGAGAGAGAGGAGAGAGAGAGAGAGAGAGAGAGAGAGGGAAAGAGAGCGAGAAAGAGAGAGAAAGAGAGAGAGAGAGAGGAGAGAGAGAGAGAGAGAGAGAGAGAGGGAAAGAGAGCGAGAAAGAGAGAGAAAGAGAGAGAGAGAGAGAGAGAGAGAGAGAGAGAGAGAGAGAGAGAGAGAGAGAATGTTTTATGGAGCGGGTTGTTTCAGCAGGTGAGACATGTCTAGATCTATGCGTATTTACCAATGTCTTGTTTTGTTGTGCGTGTGCGTGAGAGCACGTAACCTTTGTAACATCCATAGCCTCGGTAGACGACCAAGACAAAATTCTCCCCATGAGATAGGTACAAATTGTCGATTGTCGATTGTCATTGCCCCTGTATCAAATTTCTTGTTGCGAAAAGTATAATTTGTTCTCTATTACATCTTCTGCTTGTGTACCAAGGCGGAGGCACAAACGGCGAGAAACTGGAACAAGGAAATGATGATCAGGAGACGATAGCAATAGCAGTTGGGACAGCCTTGGCATCGTTTGCCCTGGGCTGTGTTAGCACAGTGGCCATGTACTGTCTGTTGTCTAGGAAAGGTAAGAGATGTTCGGGGTTTTATGTTGAAATTCATTTATTTTTCTGTATCCCGAACCTTTTGACCGTTCATAGGTCTGCTATCTTTGAAACAAAGTTCTTTTATTTCGAGGTTTCTATTTGATAAAAAGGACATTTAAGGCATGTGGTTGGCTCCTCCTTTCCTTTCTCAAACATCTATCGTCATCATCTGTCCTCCTTCTGTGTTGTATTTGTTACTCTCTTATAACACCTCTAATAATCTTCAGCACTTCTATGACCTAAGTGTGTTGCAAGTGTTGCAAAAACTCTTACTTAAACTAAAGGACCTTTACGTCTCCTTACAAATACACCTTTGTTTATTGTATGTAATGCTGTCTTGAAGGTGTAGAAGTCATAAATGTGCATGACTGCCACTTTGGAGGTTTTATCTAGATTGCTCTCTCTCTCTCTCTCTCTCTCTCTCTCTCTCTCTCTCTCTCTCTCTCTCTCTCTCTCTCTCTCTCTCTCTCTCTCTCTCTTCTGGCGCTGTGGCTTCATAAACGGTCAGCGATGCCGACAGCACGCAGGAACTCAACACTCGCCCGGGGGTCCTTAAAAAGTGCTGAAAGTGGGTTACTGAAATGTCCCAGCAGACGGGTCTAGAATGCACTGCCCGTAAAAATGGAATGTGTTTAGATTTTGTGTTCCTTCACTTTGTTGAATCGTTTTTATTTTTTTTTTTTTTTAAACAGGGCATTTTTCAGAGGACTTTTGTCCCTGGGTAGATATTTATGCAACCAGAAAATGGTTTGTGGGAAGAAAACACGAGAAAGTTTAGAGAAGAAGAAACGATAAAGCCCTTCCGCAGAAGCATTGCTGATTAATTAAAATTGAAACACTCTCACATTTCTCTGAAATTTATCAATAATGTCTTTCTCATTGTATGGTATAAAAAAATAATGCACCATAGCTTTCTGTCTTGTCTCACTGACATCTATAAGTGGTCTTAAACCTCAGACATTTCTTTCCTATCACAGGATGGCTTCACAAGAAGAGTAATAAATGCTCCAGGTAAGTTTTGAGTAATGACAACAATGATAATAATAATAATAATAA